ATTCATTAGGAAAATCCACGATGAACACATTATATCTTGTATCAACACAAGCCAAAAAGAATCGGTGTATTATTGGTCTATCAATGCCAACATCAGAATAAACAAAAAAGTATTTTCATCTATGGTTCCATCAACACGATTTTCACTATTACTTTGCGTTGTGCGATGTATTTGCAACCCATGGACGTATAAATAAAGATGGACTAGGCATGTCCTGCACTCTGTTCACCTAAATTTGAAGTCAAAAAGTTTATAGGCGCGGGAAAAGAGACGAGGTGACAGACTGTGACATTACCTTTTAAGCCAGCGGCGTACCTTCCAATATTTGAAAGTTATTTGAAACAGTTTTTTCACTTGAATAAATAATGACTATTGGTTTGATTGCTTTTATTTGTAGTATCGTAAACATATGAAATATTTCGAATACGTGAGAAACAACAAACAGTGAATAATTTTAATTTTCAAGAAAGATAAAAAGATAAGATAAGAAAGATAAAAATTTAGGAATATGTATTTAAGAAAATATTAATAAACGTAATAAAACCATAAACCATTGTTTAACAAAACATAAACAACAATATATAAAACAAATTAAACCTTATGGAACGGGTGGGGTTCTAAAATAGAAATATGCTTTATTGTCATTGAAAATTATGCAATGCTTATAAAAAGTAAAAAAAAACAACAATAACAATGAAAATTTACTAAAATTACAAAAATCGTCAATATCACAAAATAAAAGATAGTAAAATATACAAGTCATTGCAAAATCTAATTGTTGCATAATAAAACCTTACGAAGTAGTTTACGAATAAGTTTTAATTGCTGCATGTGATACACAATATATATATATATATATATATATATATATATATATATATATATATATATATATATATATATATATACTCAAAAATGTTTTGCATAATGTAATATTTTCAAAATTATCCACCAAATCTGGTGAAATCTATTTTTTTGTAACAAAATACTTTATTATATATAAAATTGTTTGTTTTTAAAAAGAAACAATAAACAAAATTTAAAGAATTAACAATTTATTATTATTATTTATAATATGTATTATAAATATATTTTTTAAATTTGTACAGATATAAGAACTAATACTTAATATGCCGTATTTCGACCTCTTGCATCAATGCAAGACTAAATGCGATGTCCCATGCTTCTAATAAGTGTATTAACGTAGTTCTGACCCATGGTGCCCCATTCTTCAATCGCTGCTATTCTAAGGTATTGTAGTGTTCTTGGGGGTGGCTGCCGGGACTGAATTTTTCTTTTGAGCATATCCCATCCGTGCTCAATGGGATTGAGGTCAGGTGAGCAAGGTGGCCATTGTAATCTGACAATATCTTCTGTCTCCAAAAATCTGCTACATGTCTCGTACAATGGGGAGGCGCATTGTCGTCCATAAAAATAAATTCTGGACCAACAGCTCCTCGCCACAAGCGTTCAACAGGCCTAAGAATGGTATTAATATAAATTTGTCCATTCATGTTACCAACAATAGGAATTAAAGGAGTTTTATTATTTAGTATGATGTCGCCCCAAAACATTATGGAGCCACCTTGATATAGGACTCTTTGGACAGCTTGGTTAGTCTATCCTGTCGATTTGGGTTCCTCCAAATCCTAATTCGGCGATTATCCGACAAAAGGCTAATTTTGGTTTCAACAGAAAATAAGACCTTTCCCCATCTGTTGTCATGCCATTATAAATGTTCATTGGCCCATTCCAGTCGAGTTCTTTTCTGGTCTAACGTAAGCTTTGGTACAAACAATGGTCTTCTTGTAAATAAATTCGCCGAATGTAACCTGTTTCTAATAGTCTGATCGCAAATTACAATTTTATGAGTTTGCTGGAGCTCTCTTCTAATAGCTGGGGCAGTCATAGAGGGGTTTCTCTGGGCAGTTAACGTTAAAAAGCGTTCTTGTACATTGGTAGTAATTCTGGGTCTTCCGCTTTTTGGACGATCGCTAACAGAATTCGTCTCTCGATATTTTTTCACAATCCGAGACATCACTCTGATTAACTCCAACCTGGACAGCAACGTCGACTTGTGTGTGGCCTTGTAACGATTCTAGCTCTGTTGAACTCAGATATCACTTACATTACATTACATCAAATACATTATTTTAGTGGACAAAAAAAAATCAGTGCAAAAAATTTCAAATTAGAAACGTTCAGTGGCGTTACAGATAATATGCAAAACATTTTTGAGTGTGTGTATATATATATATATATATATATATATATATATATATATAATTTCGGATATTTTCCGGGTTTGACTCCGCGTTAAATAGTTTTGGTTTTTAGAAAAACCATTGTTTTGACGACGTTTCGGCAAGGTCACACTTGCCATTGTCAAGTCAGATTAGTTCTGCTTGGTTCAGTTCTCCTGAAACATCAAGACTTGAAGTGCAAGTATTTTTATTAATTAAGTCATTAAAATATTTCTTTTTTGCTTTTGTTAATAATCTGCTGAGATAATTTTTGGATAATTTATATTCGTTACTGATATTCATGTCACTGGGGTGTTTCTTAGATTTTTTATACAAATTATTTTTTTCCTCAATAGCTTTTAATAATTCTAAATTGATCCAAGGCTTTTTATTTTTGATTTTTTTCGAATTTGTACTTCCTTAGTTGTTACGTCAATATTTCGTTGTAGTGTATTGATAAACTCCTCAGTTGTATTATTTATGTTTGTGGAATTATAAACAGAGATCCAGCTTTCGTCTTCTAAATTTTGCTTTAATTGTATGTAATCAGTATATTTTTTGAACATTGTGTTTTGTTTATTTGTGGAACTAACTGAAGAGTTGAGATTTTCTAATATTAATGCAATGGGACTATGATCAGTTATTTCGTAGTTAAAAATGTAAGAACTAAGTTTATGTTTACTTTTTTGTGAATTTTCAATAAAGAAATTATCAAGGCACGTTTTACTATGACGTCTTGTGATTTGGTTTATATATGATACATATCCATGCGTGTTAAGTAAATTTTTGTACTCCGATACATAATCATCTTCAACTAATAAGTCGATATTAATATCTCCTGCAAAAGTATTAATGTCCGACCTTTTTGTATGGCGTAAATAATTGTTAAGGCATGAATTAAATACCTTTAGGCATGAGCTTGGTGATCTGTATGTAGAAACGATTTTAATATTTTCATTTTTTCCGTAGATGTTTAATTCGATTGCTGTCATTTCAGAGATCTTGATAATGTTGTATTTATAGTTTAGATTGTTTTTTTACATAAACAATAACACCATCATTTCTGTTAAAGTTACCTCTACTATATATGAGTTCGTATTCCTGTATTTGAAATATTGCAATCAAGGAGCTGTAAAGTTTCCGTTAAAATAATAATTTCAAAATCAGATGTAAAATGACTTAAAAAACAATAAATTCGTCAAAGTTTTTTTTGGGCCCTTCGGATATTCATATGCAATATTTTTAAGGGTAAATTACTATTTTTACTAATATGATTAAATTCTACTACTGCATTGATTGTTTGAGCTTTAATTTCATTGTTATTATAATTACGTATAAATGGATCCATATTCAATCTTTAATAAACAGATATATTAGTATTAAATACACCTATTTATTAGATGAATGTAACCTAGAAAACTGCCTTGACTTTTGACTCTCAGTAGACTTATTTTTCACTTCTTTTTCTATATTCTTCTTTGTGCTGTTACTCTTGATCGGATTTGATGTTTTTGGGTGTTCCTATTGATTTTTCTTCAAATACTGATATTTTTGCTTCAGTCGTCTTTTTGATACTTGGTGTATTCGGTTCACTATTTGTTTGGTGTATATTTTCTTATGTATCTTGCAAGTCTTCTAAAGAGTAAGAACTTCCGTCTACAAAAAGTGTATTGCCTTTAATGTAGCTCCGAGTATTAGAATTCTGTCGGGCAAGTTTAAGATGGTATTTTAATATTGTTTGTTCTTCTCTTTGTTTTTGGGTATAGTCGTGAGTTACGTTTATGGTTGTTCCTTTCAATCGATTGTAATTTTTAAGAACCTCTCTTTCTTTATATTTGACACTAATTCTATTTTAATCGGGTTATTTTGAGAATTTTTAAACCAGATAAAGTTGTTAATATCAGATAAATAAATGTTAATATCTAGTAATTGCCTCAGCTTTACCCAAATGAACTCAGCAGAAATGTCTGTTTGACTCAATTCTAATCCATAGATAAAAATTGAATTTTCATTGGATTTTCTTTCTATTTTTTCTAATTTACTTTTTAACTCTAAATTTTCTTTCTCTAAATTTTTTTACTTTTTTATTTAAACCTTCAACATTCATAATAATTCGCGTTTCGCTTGCCTCTATGCTTATTTTCAGACCATCAATTTCTTCTTTAAAAAATTTCATTAAATGTTCTACATCTTCTCTTGTTTTCGCAACTTCGGTTAATATTTTATTTATATCGTTTGCATTCATAATTTTTAATTTTTATTTCTTTATTCAAATTACGTGTATGGTCTCCGTTATTACATATCTTTAAATTAGGCTTAGTAAATAGTGAAATGTTAAAACTTTACTGTCTTTTTTCTTTGGTTGTTTTGTCGATAAATTTAATTTATTGATAAATGATTGATAAGAATCGACTTCTTTGATCATTTTATACATTTGGAATTCGAAGCATTTATTTATAAAAAAAGATGCAATAACTTACAGTTTTCAGTTTTTTCTTTTTCACAATATTACACACAATACAACTAATTTTAACTATTTTACTATTCTTTATACCACTCAAATATTGGTTTTAATCGGGAACTAATTAACACAGTGTTACTTGCTATCGAGTGGAAGAGTATACTTATATTGTTTGTTATATTCAATATGTTAGTTATATTGTTTATTTTTATAAAATATATGCCGCTAATAAGTTTTACATTAAAAGTTAACGTTTGAAAAATATATTATGTTTGACCAAAACTCTTTCTTTTCAGGTATGTATTAAAACCGCAAAGGGAAGGTGGTGGTTATAATTACTACGACAATGATATCAAAGAACTTCTGCTTAAAATTAAAGACACTAAAGAACGAACTGGTTATATACTTATGGAAAGAATATTTCCGCCTTTATCTTCAGGATATATGATCTTACCAGGAGCTCCCAATCCACCGCCTTTGGTTAACCTCGTGTCTGAAATCGGTATTTATGGGGTTCTAATATGGTAAGTATTAAACGTATCAGCAAATTTAGAGTAGTCTTAATTTAAAGTTTTCTGTTCATGTTGGTAGATATCAGTTATCAGTAAGGTTGTGTCCGAGACGTTCCTATCAACAAGTAGGAGAAGAGCAAGAGAAGAGTAAGAAGCATTATATAATGCATGGGTTCAATAAGAAAATAATGTTAAGAAACTTAATATACATAATCAGTGGCTACATTAAATAATTAACGCAATGGAACAAAGATTATCACAGCTTGAGAATACAAAACAAGATACAGGGTTAACAGCAAGTGCCGATAAAACAAAAAACGAAGGAACATCGGACAAACCTGAATACTGGACCGATGAAGAGGATTTGGCAAATAAAACGGAGTGATCAAAGGCAGAGAGATATTTAGAAATTGCCTAGAAAAATCAATAGAAGAAAAACATATTCAAAAGCCAAAACTGCCACCACCAGTTGTAGTAGAAGGTTTCGAAAATTATGCCAAAAATGAATACTCTCATCAGTGATCGATACAGAAAAATAATAAAGAGTTTAAATACGAGTAAACTTTTGTATCACATATATGAAAATAAACAAGAAAACCTATCAGAGTAATAGTTAAAAAAGTACATAATTCCTGTCAGCCACAGGTCATAGTACAAGAGCTACAAAGAAGAGGACAAATAGCTATTCAAGCTGATGAGAATTTAACGTGTAGAACTAAAAAACCTCTAGATAAGTTCATCCGGACATTCAGATAAGATGAAGATATTAACAAAATCTTTGGAATAACTGACATATTGAGCATGAGAGTTGACATTCAACCACTAAGGAGTTTAAAGCTGGTACCACAATGCAAAATATGGCAGGCCTATGGTTATACCTGGAAATACTGTAATAAGGAACAAAGATGTGTTAAATGCATCGGTAAGCACCGTACAACAGATTGTCAGAAACCCTAAAAGAGGAACCAAAATGTACCTGTGGTGAAAATGCAATCAGTGCAAACCACCGAGGGGGTTATGTAGCCAAAAGAATACAAAATTTGAGAAATCACCTTATATTTTTCATGTACCAAATGTTATTTTTTTAAATGTAGAGCCTTTTTACTTAAGTTATATAAGTAATATACCAACAGTATATTACACCAATTATTCTGTTCACCTTCTATATCAAATACACACATACATCAACTAACATTTCACTCTGTAATAATAAATAAAAAAACCCAACTTCCTGCATATATCTGCTTACCCATCGTTCAATTCATTCTCTCTCAACCATTCCATCTGATTGAGGATGCAGGGGTGCCGTTCTAGTCTTTGACAAGAATTAATTTACAAACGTTTTGGAAAAGGGTTGACTTAAAGTTTCGCCCTTGGTCAGAGTGGATTCCAAGGGAACACCAAATCGGTCTAAGAATTCTTTAACAAGTACCTCTGCAATAGTAGTAGCTTCTTGATTGTCAATATAAATGAGTAAAATTTATTTAATTTACTAATGTTTGTGTTTTAAGAACGATTTCCGAAGTGGAAATTGAAACGTCAATAAACTTACTTTAACCTTTAATTGTGGCTCATTCTCATTTAAATAGTAATTACTTTAAAAGATGCCTGTTGGATTCGATATATAATAAAATTGTAATATTTGAATATATAATAAGACGAAATTATAATAAATTTTGTGGAAGCGTTGAAAACAAAAGTTTTCAGTGTTTTATTGCATGATATTAAACTGCCTTAATTATATACTTTTATCTATTTTTTGTTTTTAGTACCCCTAATCAAATTCTTATTAATAAACAAACTGGCCACATGATCAGGAGTAAAGCATCTACATCCAATGAAGGAGGTGTTCTCGCAGGAGCAGGAGCACTAGATTGTCCTTACTTAATTGATTAAAACAACAATCTTAACAAAAATTTTATGTAAACATTAGTTTTTCTTTGACCATAAAGAAAGTCTGTAGGCATCCGATGATATATTAAGGATAAAATCATTGTCTTTAGTTTGTTTTGTTTTTTTTTTCATTCTGATAACACAAACTGTAAAGAATACATTTTATATAACTTATATTTGAAGTTAAAAAGTATTTGAAGTGTTGAAGAGTTGCATTTTTTTAAGTATATAAGGTGTACTAATTTTTGAATATATTTTAATGAATAGTGTATTGAATTCAACAATTTCATTCAACATATATATATATATATATATATATATATATATATATATATATATATATACATTCGTATATTCGTATGAACTTTACACATTTCTAAACATTATACAAAAAATTACACTATATTATATTAAAATAGGTGGCATTCCATTGCTCCAGGAGTTAGTTCTTGGATTTAACTACCTTGGAATCGTAAGGCTGGACATTCTTGGATGATGTGGTGGACTGTTTGTTAAGCGATTTATTGTATACTCTATGACCTACTTTAATTTGGTTCAGATTATACCATTCGGCTCGAAAAATAAACCGTTGGGTTTGACGGTGGGATTTTCTATTGGGTGTACGTTGTTAGCTTCTTAGTTACAGTCACCTATCCAATGCTCATCGATCGTGAAATTGTTTGGAAGATTGTGAGCTGTTCTTGTTCACGGGTTTCGTGATCTCAGGCTCAATTGGCCTGGTTTGGCTGATAGATGTTGGTATTTATTGGTAGTGATGGATTTTTTGACATTTCTTCACTCTGACTAATGTCAGAGCACTTGTTCTGATTGTGTCTGAAGTGGCTCCTAAAGTAGTGTTTGCAAGCTAGTGAATGATATTGCGAGTTTTAACTTTCGCTGCAGTTTTATGTAAGAGTGGCTTGAAAATTGGAATGCAATCTAGTATTACACCTAGATATTTTGAGTTTGGATTATTTTTTACTATAATGCCTTCGCTTTCTTTGTTCAGTCTGTGGTGTGCTTCGCGGGCATTTAAATGGAAGGCCATAACTTCTGTCTTTGCAGGATTGGGTTGAAGACCCCCTTTTTTTTAAATATATGTTAATAATATTTAGGTGGCCTTCTTGAATAGCTTGGGCGTTCTCCATGTTTCTTTCTTGCATACTCAAAGCCTGAAGTGTATCTTATCTAATCTATCGCACTGCATTTGATTTACTATGGGGTACAATTTAAGTAGTAGGCCTTCCATTCTGTATCGTAAGCGCAAGTCAGATCAATGAGAGCAACTGCCGTTTCGGAAAACTAGGAGCCACTTCGGAGTTTTTGGACCAGTGTGTTTTATGAATTCGGAAAATATTTTGTCAACTGCTGCAGCTTTAGACACTTAATCCAAATCTAATTAGTCTAGTGCATTAAAAATTCCTCGGTCTCGATTTACCTCATGATTGGCAGACTTTACTGACGTGCAGTTTTGATATATTTGAGCTGATATCGTACTTTTCTTTTATGAACGTTTCAATGATTGGGGAGCCGAGCAATGCGTTTCGCTGTATCTTCTGTGATGAAGAGTTAGTTATTTAAATGTTAGGGCCTGTTTTCAGTTTTCTGAGTAGGTTCCAGGCAGGCCGACTGCTAAGCGTGAAGTCAAGGTTTTCGAGCGTTTGCCTTCACCTGGTGGTTCTCACAGAATTCAGAGATTCTAGAAGTTTTTGTGCTGTGCTCGGATTATCGAACACTGAGCCTCATGAGTCATACTTTAAAAGTTCTGCTAAAAATAATACATAAGAGAATATACGAAAGGCTAGAGGAGGATATTAGCGAGACGCAGTTCGGGTTCCGAAATGAAATGGGTACTCGAGAAGGACTATTTGCCAACAACATATTAATTCAGCGATGTCGGGATGTAAATGTTGATCTACACTTGTGCTTCGTTGACTATGAAAAAGCTTTCGATAAAGTAAGACATGAAAAACTAATATCAATACTCATGAACAAGCGCATTGACAGTAAAATCATAAATATAGTGCAAACATTATATTGGAACCAAAGTGCCATAGTTCAAATTGATGGGCAACACTCAGAAGAAATGAGGATCTGTAGAGGAGTTAGACAGGGATGTGTGTTATCACCACTTTTGTTTAACTTATATTCTGAAAAAATTTTCCAAAACACGCTCAATAATATCGAAGCGGGAGTCACCGTTAATGGAAAATTAATTAATAATTTAAGATATGCAGACGACACTGTGATCATAGCAACGAGTATAGAGGATCTACAACATCTTATCGAAAGCTTGAGTATAAATAGTGCTGAGATGGGAATTACTATAAACGCTAAAAAAACGAAGTACATGCTGATTACAAAAAGGCCACAAAATATACATCACCTATTGATAATAAATGGTAACGTGATAGAACAAGTAGAAAAATATCAGTATTTGGGAACTTTGATCAATGAAACCAATGATCATACTGTAGAAATAAACAGACGAATAGAGATTGCCAGATCAGCATTTATACGAATGAAGCCACTCCTAACGTGCAAAAATCTAAATTTGGAGATCAGACTACGTACCATTCGCTGTTATATATTTTCAATATTATTATATGGAGCTGAGACTTGGACATTAAAAAAATGTAATTTAAAAAGAATCGAGGCCTTCGAACTCTGGTTATACCGCAGATTATTGAAAATATCATGGACTGATAGAATTACAAATAAAGAAGTACTGGAAAGGGTTGGTAAAGAAACAGAACTAATCACCACTATACAAACCAGAAAACTGGAATACCTAGGCCACGTGATGAGGGGACCAAAATATGAAATTTTGAGACTGATAATACAGGGAAAGATTCAAGGAAGAAGATCTGTTGGCCGAAGGCAGAACTCATGGTTAAAGAATCTACGTGATTGGTACCAATGCAGATCGTATAGTTCTCCAGTTGGATTTGATACTTATCCCAGTTTTCCTTACGAAAGTTCCCTCTAGGCAGAGGAATTGAATTTATAATGGGATAGTTGTTATTACTGGCCTATGCTGCGATTTTGGGAAATTATCAAGAACTTCTCTGGTGGCGTGATTATGGCAGTCGTCTTCGGTGGACATACATGTTAGATCTGGGTTGTAGCCTTTTGCCATTTAGCGAAAAAAAGGTGGCTTTTATTTTACATCTTGTAAAAGTCTAAGATGTTTGAGCTCCGTCCATTCAATTACTTGTTAATGTGCCTTCAGTAAGCTGTTGTTCCATCGTTTTCGTGGCTATCTTTACTACTCTATTTGTTGTCATTCGGCTTTTAGGATCGTTCTATCCTACTCTTCTATTTCTTACCCAATTCTTGATGTTCTCCACCTTGCATCTACGTCATATGTACTTCTAGTTCTGTCACATAGAGTCTTACCATCAATTTTTCTAAGTGTTTCCATATCTGCTGTTTCTAACATCCTTTTTGTCGTCTCTGTGTCAGGTCTTGTTTCTGTCTGTGCCGCGTATGTCATTATTGGTCTGATGACTGATTTGTAAATTCTGCCTTTCATTTCTTTCCCGATATTTGTATGTCTCCATATTTGTTTCTCCTTTCCGTAACTAGATAATGTTATGCCTAAATATTTAAACTCCAACACTTGTTCTATTATCTAACCATCCAGTTTCAATTTACATTTTAGTAAATTTGCTGTTGTAACCATGCGTTTTGTCTTTTTTGGAGGAATTAACGTGTTAAATTTTCGGGCTATTATATTAAATTGGTGCAGCATACGTTGTAAATCATCTACACTTTGAAAGAGTAGTATTGCGTCGTCTGCATAGCAGATTATTTTAAGTTGTTTTTTGTCCCATTTTGTATCCTTTTTAGTTCTTTTTTTTTTAATATTTCATCCATAATCAGGTTGAACAATAGAGGGAATCTCCATGTCTTATCTCATTTCCAGCTTCAATAGGGTCGGTTAGTTCTTCTACTTTTAATATTATTGTGCTGTTTTGGTAGATATTTTAGATCGTTTTGATTATTCCTAGAAGTATCTCTCTTGCGTACAGTAAGTGAATAACGTCTTTTAATTTAACTGTCAAATGCCTTCTTTAGGTCCAAAAAGTATACCTGGGTCAAATAATGTTAAATAGAAATTATAGATTGATTAACAAGTTTGTCGGTATTATACCCCCTAACGGTGAGTTGGGTCGATGTTTCCGGAAAGGTCGTTCTTAGTTCTTAGTAGTTCTTAGATTTTGAAGTTTTTAGTTCCAGTCTATTGGTTATCGCTGATACCTAAAATATTAACGTGGAATCATTCAATGTCGTCTAATACATTTTTCAGTTTTCCTGGAGTTTCTGGTAACTTCTTACTTTCCATGTAGCAACTTACATAGCTAACTCAGATGTTTTTAGTACATCTGATCATATAACGTCTGTCGGGAACTAAGAGCTTTTGTAAAAGTTATATTATTAAATTTTTTTCCAATCATAATTATAAATTTCCAAAATGAACCAGCCCAGAATGATTTTCATTACGCTTCATTTGGGTAATAGTAACAGCCACTGCTCTATACATTTAAGTGGGTGGAGGGCGTATGCGTGCGTGCCCTTGTGTATGTATTAATAAAGTAAACGTTTTGTTATAAAATTCAGTCTTTATTGAAACAATTGAAAGAGTGTAAACTAGCTTTACAACACACGAGACTACTTATTGCATTTATTTTTATGCTTTCTTCGGTCAAGGAAAAAATATTGTCCAATTTTGTGATTGTGATGTGATTTTATTCCAAATCGTAAAAATTTATTTTAATTATCAATAACTTTTTTAATAAGCACTTAAAAAGTACTTATATTAATGTGTTAATTATTTTTATTGATATTCTTGTTAAAAACAAATAATATAATGTTGAATTGAGTAATTTTACTAATAAAAACCTTAGTAAAGTAATCTTTTATACATATAGTCATGTTTTCTATATATATATATATATATATATATATATATATATATATATATATATATACATACAGGGTGAATTTTTAGTAGGACATTTTAAGGCGTACCTATGTGCGTCAAAACAATATTACATACGTCGACGACGCAGTAGTAGTTTTTGCATATAGCTTAGATGGTTTACAAAGAATATTACTGCGCTTATCATTATACCGCGAATATTACAAGTAGAGAACATGGACTTTATCTCAATCCAAAAAAAAGTACAATTTCGTAAATAAAGTACAAAAGTACAATTTTGTAAATAAGAATATCTTATCTCTTTTGATATTTCAATACTAATCTTCGCGTTTAATCATTTTACTAGAAAACCTGGAATTCATATCCGAAGGTACTATTCGTTGCAAGATAATTAGGATGGAATTCCCCAGATTTTAAATAATATAATGGTTATAAAGATGCCGGCTTTGGCCACGTGCCTCGTCTGTTAAGTTTATATTCGAAACTTAACTTGAAAGGGTGAAGTTATTACGAACGAAAACAATTTTTTTGTTTAGTACGTTTTTGATCGCATGTAATTTACGGCTCGTTGGTGTTTCCGCGTCTACGTCAGTAATTAGCGTCTCAAATATTTTTTTTGCGAATTATGTTCAGTGCGTGAGTGATTTTTTATTCCATATACCTACGAATATATACGTACCTTTCGCTCGTGCTCGTTTTGTTGGATTGTTTGTGATGGCTTTATCATCAACATCATCAAGTTTTACACCGGTACTGTTGCGTACAGTCAGTAAGTCTGTCTATTCACCAAGAGAGAAGACTATTGTCCTGAATTTTCACGATGCTTTGGTTTCTCAGAATCCCACAAACACTGTTCGCAACATAGTCGAAAGTTGTGCCAACATGACTGGCGTAGGGGAGTCAACTATGTATAGGTTCCTATCAGAAAGAAAAAAACACGGTATAGCTAACGCAGACACAAACGAACACTTAAAGAGAGGGAAAAAGCCTATTGAAATTGATGAATTTGCCAAAAATGGTATTCGAAGGAAAATTCATGTACGAATAGTACCGAAGGTACTATTCGTTGCAAGGTAATTAGGATGGAATTCCCCAGATTTTTAAGAATATAATGGGTATAAAGATGCCGGCTTTGGCTACGTGCCTCGTCTGTTAAGTTTATATTCGAAACTTAACTTGAAAGGGTGAAGTTATTACGAACGAAAACAATTTTTTTGTGTAGTACGTTTTTGATCGCATGTAATTTACGGCTCGTCGGTATTTCCGCGTCTACGTCAGTAATTAGCGTCTCAAATATTTCTTTTGCGAATTATGATCAGTGCGTGAGTAATTTTTTATTCCATATACCTACGAATATATACATACCAAAAGCCTATTGAAATTGATGAATTTGCCAAAAATGGTATTCGAAGGAAAATTCTGGATTTTTGGATGGATTTTTTTTTCAAAAAAGAAAAACCAAACCTAATCAAAATATTACAAGAAGTTAGAGACGAACCGGATTTGCCCCATATCGGACGAACTAAATTGTAGCAAGTTTTAAAAGAATTAAATTTCCGGTGGGAGAAATCAGACCGAAAATCACTTTTGATTGACCGAGAGGAGATAATATGTTGGAGAGGAAATTATCTAAGATCCATACGAAAATTCCGGGCTAAAGAAAGGCCAATCTTCTACCAGGATGAAACGTGGGTAAACTCAGGTCATACTCTAAAAAAAATTTGGTCAAATAAAAATATATTAAACTCCAGGCAAGCCTTTATGGAAGGTTAGTCTACTGGTATCTCTCCACCTTCTGGTAAAGACAATAGATTAATAATTTGTCACATTGGCAGTGAAAAAGGATTTTTTAAGCATGTTTTGTTGGAATTTCAGTCCAAAAGCACAAAAGACCATCACGAGAAGATGACAGCTGATGTTTTCGAAGAGTATTTTGAGCATATGATTGAACACATATCACCAAATTCAGTTATAGTATTAGATAATGCACCTTATCATTCACGACTAGTAGAAAGACTTACAACGACTGCGTGGAAGAAATAGGATATTCTTGACGGGCTGCTCAATAAGTATCTGCCTTACGAAGATGGAATGGTAAAAGCAGAACTTTTAAAAATTTTCCGGCAACACAAATCTAAGTTCAAGAAATACGTAGTTGATAAAATGGCGGAAAGGCGAAACATCACAGTCCTTAGACTTCCACCCTACCATTGCGAAATAAATACAATTGAACTCATTTATACACAAATGAAAAGTTATGTGGATAGAAAAAATACGTCATATAAAATACAAGCTGTACGTGAATTGTTATACGAGTCTTTACAACATATTACAGAACAAAAACTGGAAAAATGCAGTAAGACATGTAATAGAGGAAGAACAAAAAATGTGGGATCTTGATAACATAAGTGATCCGACCGTAGAGACACAAATGCTAATTATTAATCCTCAAGACGACTCGGATTCCGGAGATGATCCTATTTATTTTGAATTTGAATAGTTTTCTAATTGTAATTATATAAGGTAAGTAATAGTAGTTGTAATCGTAAGATATTAAAGGTGAAAGGCGCAAAATGTCGTCTGTCAAAATGTTCAATGTGTTTTAAATGTATCCATTTTTTTTCAAATCCTGAGGAAACTGAAAAGCATTTTTGAAAAATTTAAAGGCAGAATGAAATATTAATTAGAATAAATAAAAAATTTCTTTTGCATGCAATATTTTCAATTAAAAATTATACTATATTTTCTCTTTTATTTTCACCCCGTTACATAACATATTCAAATAAACATTGTAGAAGTTTTCAGGGACTTTCTGCCTCAGTAATAATGTAATCTTCCATTCTGCGTTTAAATTTTTCAAAATTCAAAAATATTTATTAGTTTTCTCCAGATTCGAAAATAATGGATACATTTAAAACACATTGAAAATTTTGCCAGGCGACATTTAGCGCCTTTCCTATTAATTAAATAAATGTACTTTTTACAAATGGCAAGAAACTTTTTATTTTTGAATAAAATAAATAAGTTTTATTAAAACAAAAATTTACATAAGTACAATTTAAAAAATATATTTATTTAGTTCAAATAAATGTTTCAATCATATACTCTACGACACTGGTCGGTCATCTGTAACCAAAATACCTTCGTAATCGGATTATAAGGTTGACTGCTGTATTGTATTCCTTCAGATACAAGGTGGGTTAGTCAAAAACATCTTAAACCGTCAGTTTCAGGTTGGTTTTTACTATTATATCGTATTACCTATCCTCTCTGTATTTTAGTTCTCTAATTAGGGTTAAACTTGTAGTGAGCTATCAACAAATTGTGAACCGATTATACAACCGTATTATTCTGAATAGCTGCAAGAAAAGTTAGTATTACCATGCTGATCGCCAACACCCGCTACGGATAGGCACTGTAAGAAGGAGCTCGGTCGAGAATTCCATTATGTTACGGAATATCCAAAAAAAAAGGTGATGATATTCTCTAGGCTTAAAAAATATGCCGAATTCTACAGGGCGATTAATCACTGCGTGCTTAAGCAAACATACAATATTTTATATAGGGCACGTTGTATATTTTCTCATATTTAGATTCCTTTCATAATCCCTATTCTTACAATATGAAGTTTCACACTACTATATAGGGTATTTAACAAGTTATGACATCGATATCGCTATGAAATAAACACCCTGTATATAAAGAAGGAATTTATAAATAATTATTCATTTTACATAATAAGGTAAACAATATTATGTTCTATTGTAACCGATACTCAAATGAACGAGCCACATTCCTAACATTTAAACAATATTTAGTCAATATTATTAAAAACTTTTGTTATTCTCTTTTTCATATTATCTGGCGTTGGTGGAGACTTCAGGTACACAAGTTTTTTTATATAGTCCCACAAAAAAAACAATGTGACGCGCTGGCCAAACAGTGGGTCCTAATCTGCCTATCCATCTTGCAAGAAAGTTATTATTCAGATGATTGTGATTAAGAGCTGTGATAAACTGGGTTGTCGGTCGTCTAAAAACCAGATTCTTTGTCAAAAATTAAGTGGAACATTTTGCAGTAGTAATGACAAATGATTATAAAATCCAGATATATAACAACATTCACACGGCCGTCAAAAAAATGTGGTCCAACCACATAATCCCCAACAATACCACCCCAAACATTTATATATATATATATATATATATATATATATATATATATATATTACATTTTTGTGAAATTTAGCGTTATCTCCAAAAATCACATAATCGAAAACAAAATGGTCGCTATGCACTTTCTGCTAAGACTGTTAAAAAAGCTAATCTACGATGATAATCATCGACTTCTTGATGTAACTGTATGCGGTAGGGATGCAGTTTATATTTACGGAGGATTTTAGTCGCCAAAGTTTGACTAATGTCATGTTGACGTGAAAACAGTACATCATTTCTCCCTGTAATATGTCTTGTTCTATTTCACGTTTTCTCTGTGGAAGGTTATTTCTGTTGTCTGCAAGTATTGACAATTGCTGAGCATTGTTGTCTGCAAGTCTGAATATTTTTTCAGCATCAATCACAAGGTTTATAGGATTATGATCTGATCTCAACATTGGTCCAGGGTATGTTTTACTACATTTGTTATGTTATTTACTTGTCTCATGATGTAGTCTATATCTAGTTGCTCACAATCTTTTCTGTTTACTATGGAGAGGTCCATGTATATAATCTGCATGGTGGTAAATTAATAAAAGTATTCGCTAATACTAAATCTTTGGTTTGACAAAACAGAACTAATCGATTACCTCTCTCGTTTCAGGTTCCAAGGCCCTAGTTGTCTACTATTGGCCACTATTGATGAATGATGTCGTTTCCGGTATAGTAAAAATTCTATTATTTCGATTTGATCATTTTAGAACCTAGCGATTGTGTGCCACTGATACCTAAATATGTCGATCTTTAGTCTTCATTT